TTAGCCCAATCAATTCCCCTTACTCAAACATCTGCCCAAACATTTTTCATACTCAAACATCTGCCCAAGCATTTAACTCCTACATTAGACTTTATTTTATTATTTACAAATATTAGCTAGAAGTGTTCAATTTTTATTTCAATTATGAACTTTTCTATGCTTTCAAAAAATAAAAATAAAAATAAAAAATTATAGTTTCGTTCAGTTTTAAAACTTTCCCGGACTGGCTCTTCATCGTTTTATCTTTTCATCAACAGGTGTTCTCTGCTGGTCCAAATTAAAATTTACAGAAATGAGAGAGAAGATTACCTCAAGGTATGACAAGTGTTTAGGGGCTGAGCTTTTCAAGGCCGTTCTGATTTCCGGTGTGGTTCTCTACTTGGCCTCCATTTTTCTCATCAAAAAACCCATTTGTTCACCTCCTGAAGGGGTACTGATATCGCCAGAGGCGGCGGAGTTGAGCAGAAAAAATCAATCTCCGACCAACATCAGCCACCTACTATTCGGCCTTATCGGCTCCGAAAAGGCATGGCACCACCGGAAGGCCTACACCGAGTCATGGTGGCGGCCCGGCGTCACCCACGGCTTCCTTTATCTCGACGTGGCGCCCACCGGGGATCTCCTCCCTTGGTCGCCGTCTTCCCCGCCGTACAGAGTCTCAGACGATATAAACCAGATGGTCCAAGAAACGAAGCACGCGGCCCCTATCACGGCGCGGATTGTGCATGGGATAAAGGAGGTGTTCAGGGAGAGGCAGGAGGGGGTGAGGTGGGTGGTGATGGGAGACGAAGACTCTGTGTTCTTCGTGGAGAATATGGTTGATGTTTTGGCGCAATATGATCACACAAAGTACTATTACTTGGGGGGTCAATCGGAGTTTGTGATGTCCCACTTCTGGTACTCGTTTAACCAGGCTTTCGGCGGCGCCGGCTTCATTCTCAGTTATCCTCTGGCTGAAGCTTTGTCCAACGACATGGACAGTTGCCTGAGGAGATATGCGCACATCAAATCTTCTTCCGATCATATTACCATGCTTTGCATAGCTGATCTTGGAGTTAATTTTTCCCCCTTGAAGGGGATTCATCAGGTAATTTATTAGTTAATTTTCTATACATGTACAAATTTTAATTTCTTTGTTTAACCATTTTGGTAGGGATAGTGGTTGTGCAATTAATCTATTTGGTATTTGCCATTAACAATTTATGTGTTAATAGTTATCATATTATGTGTTTATAATTTTCATATTATGTGCTTTTAATTTGTTAAATGGTTCAGAAATTGTTAACTACTAGTACAAAATGTATTAACGGCAAACTAACAATTACATTTTCACCATGGTTTTTGGGTTCATGGGTTGTACTAGATTGATTTACATGGGGACCTGTCCGGATTTCTGTCATCCCATCCCAAATTTCCACTACTATCCCTTCATCATCTCGACGCAGTAGAGCCCATCTTTCCTGCCATGGACCGAATCCAATCAGCGAAGCATTTGGTGAGATCGGCGAACTACGACCAGACCCGAATGTTGCAACAGACCATTTGCTATCACCGACAAAGTAACTGGTCGGTTTCTGTGTCGTGGGGATACTCGATTCACATTTACGAAAAGATTCATCCCCGGAGTTACCTGCAAATGCCGATCGAAACGTTCCAGCCGTGGAAAAGGAATCAGCCGCCCCCGCTTTACATGTTCAACACTCGGCTTCCTTCTAAAGATCCTTGCGAAGCGCCGCACATTTTCTTCCTTAAAACGGCGAACATAACCGAGGAAGATGAGGTGGTTATGACGTATCTCCGATCGTCGGAGAGAGGGTTGCCGGCGTGTTCGTCTACCGGCAATCATTCGGCTGCTTATGTTTCAAAGATTGAAGTTTACTCGCCATCGACAAAGCGTCCAGAGGTCAGCTTTCTTTTTTTCTTTTTTTTTTTTAAAAAAAAATCAACATAAGTACATAATCTAATATTTTGATACTTTGGTGCTATTGTTTCAGATGGACAAATGTGAATGTTGTGACGTTATTCATTCAGATGGTGAGGAAGGTTTGAAAGTCAAATATAGAAAATGTTTGTTAACTGAGGTCATTGCTTAACAAGCAGTCAAGCTGTAACTATTCTTTTATTCTCAAATAGCCTTATTTCATCAATTATTACTGCAGTATATATACAATAAACAATGCGATAAATGTTTAGAAAATTATTTGATTCACCATCAAAATATATAAGAATTACACCAAGTGATGAATTAAATGTGTTTTGGCTCGGCTAATGGAAAGCATAGCCGCTAGCTAGACATGATTGGTCGTGAAATATAATGTTCTTTCCAAACTAATGTTGCTACGAGTTCGTGCGGTGTATGATGAAATATTTTTTAATTTAGTTACTATCAAAGATATACATATTACATGAAAATAAATGTCAAATGTATTTGTCGAACATTAGACATTACATAATAAACAATAATTATAAAGTTCATAGTATAAAATTTTAAAACATTAAACTAGAGTTATGGTTATTACTTATTAGGTTATATAGTTAAATTTTCAAGAAAACATTTTCTAAAAATCATTTTACTGTTTTTCAAACGGAGCCTTAGTCTTTAAAACTATTGGGGTGTTGGTTAATTTGAGTCCACAACTTACAAAATTAACAATTTAATACCTAAGGCTGAATTTACCCTTGCAAGTGTACCCATTTGCAATCTTATTTTGCATGCCACATGAAATTATTTTTTATTTTTATTTTTTTTTTGTTATATGATGTGTAATGCAAACTTGCATCTGTTGCAAGTTTGCAAAGTACAAAGAAGGCTGCCGAATAGTATTGCAAGGCAGCATAGCTGCCTGCAAATCTGTACTTTTCATTAGTTTTTATTTTTTTTTATTTTTATATATATAATATAAAATAAAAGTGGGACCCATTTTTTAGAGTGAGAGAGATTTGTAGGGATGTAGTGTGAATAGGAGATGATTTGCAAATAAGATAACGTGAAAGTGGGACCCATTTTTTAGAGTGAGAGATGTTTGCAGGGATAAGGACAGCCTAAGTATTCAACTTTATTCAGTCTGGCTAAGTAGTCAACCAATTATTACCAGAAAATAGTAATAGGTAAAATATTCAGAGTATTTTAATCTTTTTGCTCCACTTTTCTTTCTTCTCCGCTGGGTTTTCCACTTTCGCGTTATTTGTTCAGTCACGTTCGGCATTGTCGTCGTCACCAATCATAGCCTCTTTAACCATACTACCATTGAGGAAGTAAGATTCTTGGCGCAGAAGAAGAACTTGATTCCTTTGTTGTTCGGCACAGACACCACTGAAATCGCAAGCCTAAGCCTCGTGAATCCTCATTCCGAAAACAAGAAATGCAAAGAAGCATTGGATATGCAGACGACGAAAGCGAAATCGATGGAGGCAGAGGGAAATACATAAATCTGGAAGTTGGAAGGTGCAAGGACAGCAATGGAGTGGGTCCAAAGTGCAGGAAGAAATTCAATGAAAAGGTCCAAATACTACAAGAAATACTAAAATACGCTCAATAAATTACTTATTAATATTTTCAGGCCACAATTGGTGAGACCGACTAAAATTGATAAAAATTGAATAGTTAGAGTATTAAATTGTTAGCTTTGAAAATTGTAATCTCAAACTGACAATATCCCAATAGTCATAGGACTAAAAGTGAAATCATATGTATAAAAGCTTTCAAATTTGTTATCCTCTTTTATATATATATATATATATATATATATATATATATATATATATTACTCCATATTATTTTGTTATTATAATATAATTTGGGGTTAATTCCACTAGCAGATGTTCCTTGTCTTTGGTGACAATTTTAAATATAGTCCTAGACTATTATTTTTGCCATTTTACATCCCAGACGTTTTTTTTTGGATACTTTTAGTTCTTCTTAGGACTTTTTTTATTTTTAGTAAGGATGTTTTTGTCTCTTCATATTTTTTTTTTCAGTTGCAATCGGTTTAATTAGTTAGGGCTTTACTAAAAATTGGTTGAAAAATATGGTTACTAAAAATTAGAGATTACCTTAAGTTCTAAACCAATTAAACCGGTTGAAACTGGAAAAATAACAAAAGAAAAATATGAAGAGACAAAAATGCCCTTACTAAAAATAGAGAAAGTCATCAGAATTACTAAAAGTGTCCAAAAAATAATAGTCTGGGATGTAAAATGACAAAAACGATAATCTGGGATTAAATTTGGAATTGTCACCAAAGACAAGGGACCTCTAGTGGAATTAACTCTATAATTTGATATGAAAGTGAGACCGTTTTTAATAGTGGAAGAATATTGCAGAAATGTAGAGAAATAGTGAATGAGTTGCAAATTTAGTGATTTAGGTAAGATCCACTTTTAAAGTTTAGACTAAATAACATCCATGGAATTAGCAAAAAGTTTAGACCTAATGGCAACAAATGGTGTATCAAAGAACTGTAAACCATACAAAAGATGGTCAAAATTTGTGGCAGGCTCAAGTCCACTTATATTCTGGACCATAATTTTTTTTTTTTTTTTTTTTTTTTTTTTTACATCTAAGAGGAGGGGCACCCTAACTAATCAAGTCTATGGAGAAAACGCCTCTGAGGCACCCCAATGATGTCTTCATTCACCAGCTCGAGCACGTCCATTCCCATGTGATCCATCTCTCCCATGCATGCCACGCTCATGACGAATAGCTTGTTTAGCCATGAGGTTAGTCACATGATTTTGCTCCGTAAGTACATGTTTAACATTTCTTTGCCAATCCTTTTGAAGCCACCAAAGGCATTCATTAATGGTATTATGATACAACCTTGGGTTCCTGATGCATCAATAATGTAAAACGACATTACGTCAATGATGATTGTGGACCATAGTTCAAAACGACATTCAGATCATTTATCTGCAGTTAACATATTCAACAGGGCTTTTGTGCTGGTCCAAATTAAGATTTCCAGAAATGAGAGAGAAGATTGGCTCTAGGTATGACAAGTGTTTGGGGCCTGAGCTTTTTAAAACCGTTCTGATTTCCGGTGTGGTTCTCTACTTTGCCTCCATTTTTCTCTTCAAAAACCGAGACCCCATTTGTTCACATCCAGAAGGGGTTCTGATATCGTCGGAGGCGGCGAGAAATGAATCTCCGACCAACATCAACCACCTACTATTCGGCCTTATCGGCTCCGAGAAGGCATGGCACCACCGGAAGGCCTACATCGAGTCATGGTGGCGGCCCGGCGTCACCCGCGGCTTCCTTTATCTCGACGTGCCGCCCACCGAGCCTCTCCTCCCTTGGTCGCAGTCTTCCCCGCCGTACAGAGTCTCAGACGATATAAATCAGATGATCCATGAGACGAAGCACGTGGCCCCTATCTCGGCGCGGATTGTGCATGGGATAATGGAGGTGTTTAGGGAGAGGCACGAGGGGGTGAGGTGGGTGGTGATGGGAGACGAAGACTCCGTGTTCTTCGTGGAGAATATGGTTGATGTTTTGGCCCAATATGATCACACAAAGTACCATTACTTGGGGGGTCAATCGGAGTTTGTGATGTCCCATTACTGGTTCTCGTTTAACCAGGGCTTCGGCGGCGCCGGCTTCATTCTCAGTTACCCTCTGGCGGAAGCTTTGTCCAACGACATGGACAGTTGCCTGAGGAGATATGCGCACATCAGATCTTCTTCCGATCATATTACCATGCTTTGTATAGCTGATCTTGGAGTTAATTTTTCCCCCTTGAAGGGGATTCATCAGGTAATTAATTTATTAGTTAGTTTTCTATACATGTACACATTTTATAACAATTGCATTTTCACCATGGTGTTTGGGTTTATGGATTGTACTAGATTGATTTACGTGGGGACCTGTCTGGATTTCTGTCATCCCATCCCAAATTTCCACTGCTATCCCTTCATCATCTCGACACCGTAGAGCCCATCTTTCCGGCCATGGATCGATACCAATCGGCGAAGCATTTGGTGAGATTGGCGGACTACGACCAGACCCGAATGTTGCAGCAGACCATTTGCTATCACCGACAAAGCAACTGGTCGGTTTCCGTGTCGTGGGGGTACTCGATTCAGATTTACGAAAAGATTCACCCCCGGAGTTACCTGCAAATGCCGATCGAAACGTTCCAGCCGTGGATTTGGAATCAACCTCACCCGCTTTACATGTTCAACACTCGGCTCCCTTCTAAGGATCCTTGCGAAGCGCCACACGTTTTCTTCCTTATAACGGCAAACAGAACCGAGGAAGATGGGGTGGTTATGACGTATCTCCGGTCGTCGGGGAGAGGGTCGCGGGTGTGTTTGTCTAGCGGCAACCATTCAGCTGCTTATGTTTCGAAGATTGAAGTTTACTCGCCATCGACAAAGCGTCCTAAGGTCAGCGTTCTTTCTTTCTTTCTTTTTTAAAGGGAAAATGGCACTTCTTCCCCCTAAGTTATATACTTATAGCACTTTTCCCCCCTGAATTATTCAAGTGGCTATTTTTCCCCCTGAAATGTTAAATGGACATATTTACCCTTAAAATAAATATTTCATTTATTTTCCTTCTCCAACAAATTATGACCATAATTTGGTTCAAACCAAACAAGCACTATAGCAACCAAATCGAAATATTCCAATTACAATTTAGAATCGAAATTCGATATTTAGAGTTTATTAAAATCGCAAACCGGAACGGAAGGTTCATGTTCCGAAGTGAAAAAATAAAATACATTTATTGTTGAATTTAGACTATTTAAAATAAAAAAATAAAATTTTAAAATAAAGACTGTTCAAAATCGCGAACCGGATCCAGAACTGCCGATTCACGGTTCAAGATCCAATTTTTTTGATTCATAATTTTAATAAATTGAAATCCAAATATTCGGTTCTAGATCTGAATCATAACCGGAAACTTTTAATTCAATTGCTATAGTGTCCGGTTGTTCAGTTTGATCTGAACCGTGGTCATCCCTACGTATACGCGATAATTTGTTGGAGAAGTAAAATAAATAAAATGTTTACTTTAAGGGTAGAAATGTCAATTTAATATTCCAGGGGGAAAAACCACCACTTTTAGAATAATTGAGGGGTCTAATATGCTTACCTAAATAATTGAGGGGGAAAAAGGGCTATAAGTATATAACTCAGGGGGGAAAAGTGTCATTTTCCCTTTTTTAAATCAACATAAATATATAATCTAATATTTTGGTACTTTGGTACTATTGTTTCAGATGGACAAATGTGAGTGTTGTGACATTATCCATTCAGATGGTGAGGAAAGTTTGAAAGTCAAATATAGAAAATGTTTGTTAAGAGAGGTCATTGCTTAACTAGCAGTCAAGCTGTAACTATCATTTTCTTCTCAAATAGTCTTATTTCATCCATCATCATATACCATAAATAATAGGATAAATGTTTAGAAAATTATATGATTCACCATCAAAACATATGAGAATTGCACCAAGTGAAGAATTAAATATGTTTTGGCTCGGCTAATGGAAAGCATAGACGCTAGCTAGACATGATTGGTACGAGTTTGTGCTGTGTATGATGTAATCTTTTAGTTACTATCAAAGATATACATGTTGTATATATGAAAATAAATGTCAAATGTATTTGTCGAACATTAAACACCCTTGGCGTAGAGTGATCAGATAGTGAAGATCAAGTCGATGATGAGGAGTTTGTGACTTTTTTGAAGGACTATTAGTAGAAGGAAGCAACTAGTTGAGTTAGCGAAAGGCTTCCTCCCACTTGTGTTTGTAACAATAAATAGTAAAATCCTCATAGCTTATTAGGAGAAGGTTGTGTAGAAATTTTTTTAGAACCATTATAAAAATTTCTCTATCTATCATTTTATTTATTTATTTATTTATTTTGCTTCTTCTATCTATGACTAACCATCCATATTCATATTTTCACACTTACACTCACAACATAAAACAAAGTTACAAACCAAAACTTGAAAATAGTATAAAACTTTCACTACCCAAAAAAAAAAAAAAAAAATCATTTTCTAACTTTTTTTATTTTGTTTACTCCCCACCCTCACCCAATAGTTATTGCGTGGATTTTGATTCACACATCTGTGTGGACCACAATTCAAAAACGTCATTTTTCTTAATTTTATTTTTTTACGCGCACAGTTGCAACATAAATTATTCTAAAACATCATGTACATTATTCTAAAACATCATTTACATTATTCTCAAGTATAATGTACATTGTTTTAAAACGTAATGTACATTATATTACCCAGATGTTTAACACATAATGTACATAATGTACATTATTCATATATATATTATTATTTTAACACATAATGTACATTATTCATATATATATATATATATATATATATATATATATATATATATATTATTTTTACTCATAATATTCACGACGATGTTTTTGGACTGTAATCCATGCAACTATGTAGATCACGGTACACACAATAGTTTGTCATTCCCCCACCCCTTCTAAGCTTTTACTTGTCCAGGACCAATAACTCGTCACTTGTGCACCAAATAATGTAGTGAAATTAATAGGTAGGATCAAATGTGAAAATGGATGATGATCAAGGGACTAAATTAAATATGTCAATAACTTGAAGATATATATTATATTGGTTGATTCCAACCACTTTAGTCCCGCTACTAATATATTATTATGTTTAAAAAAAAAAAAAAAAAAAAAAACCATCAACTTTAAAATTGATTAGATGCAGTACTTAACTTAAGAAATTAAACTTATCATTTTAAATCCAAATCAATTAAATACCAAATCTAGTAGAAAATCTAGTCTTTGGAGGACTAAAAATGACAATGCAAATTTTCAAATGTTAGATAATATTGAAATTAACTCAATTATATATTACTTTCAAAACAAAACAAAAACAAAAAAAAAAAACTCAATTATATATTTTTTGTTGTAAATAATTGAAACATAATTTATATGTATAAATAATCTAATGTTAATATAAATTGCTCATATTATTTTCATAACAAATGAAAGCAGATTACTCATAGTTGAATTCGTTCTTAACACATTCCATGCATTTTTGGCAATGAAAAAATTGTCAACCATGCATGTATAGTCCAATTCCCCATGTGGGATTCTAGCTTCGCTGCACGATCCATGCGCGGCTAAGGCTAAATTTTATATCTCTGAAATTTTCCAATGACAAGCTGACATGATATTTGTTTAATTTGTGGCAGACTCAAGTCCACTTATATTGTGGACCATAATTTAAAACCACATTTTGATAATATATTTGTAGTTAATATATTATATACATTTAGTTAATAAATTATGTGTTTACTACAATTAATATATATATATATATATATATATATATATATATATTATGTATATGCAGTTAACATAATATGTGTATATATTTAATAAATACCTTTTGAGTATATATCTATCAAAAGCTTCTTGAGAAGCCCAACATTTTGAACGTTTTGAGTGCCGCTCCACAATTTTGCACCACAAAGCTTCTTCGAAAGCCCAACAAATGCCGGAAAGCTACGGCTGCCCCTCTCAATCTGTTGAACTTATGTTGTACCTTTCCGTCTTTCTTCTTCATGTAGTTGAACACGTTTTGTGATTTGTGAGTATCTTTTTTTTTTTTTGTTTTTTTTTGAAACAATTTGTGAGTATCTATTTATAGTGTTAGTTTGTGATTTGTGAGTACCTATTTATAGTGTTAGTTGGTTTATAGAAATTTATGTATATTTAATATTAATCTTGAGAATTGCAAAAGTTGTCTAATATTAAATTTATTTTATTCTATGGCTTGTAATAATGGTTGCTCTATACGATGAAGTAAGATACTCTTAAATGGATATTAAACAAAAATATAATTCTGATATAGAAACAACCTTTCGAATACCAAGAAATTTAAATTTGAATGTAATAAATGAGTTTTTGAAAAAAAAAAAAAAGAGTTCTAATTCTAATACACATGGAATAACGTCAAGGATAAGGAAAAGTTTTAAAAAGCAATTAATATAAACATTTGGTTTATATTGGCCAAATAGTTCAGCGTCCAAGATCGACCTCTAAAACGGCGTCGCATAAAGTGAGCGGGAAAATATTACATTTTAATTGGCTAAAAAGTTATGGTTTTATTATATAGAAAGATAGAAAGATATGTTTAGCTTTATTATAGTAGAAGAGAGGAAAAGGATATATATATGTTGTTATTGAAAAAGAAGAGAGCAACACACTATTATATGTCGTTATTGAACACACTATTGTTGGCAATGAAAAAATTGTCAACCATGCATGTATAGTCCACTTCCCCATGTGGGATTCTAGCTTCGCTTCACGATGGCAAATTATGCTGTGCATCCGTATGCACCAAGCATGGTGCATACGGATGCAAAAACGACGTCGTTTTTATAAAACGCGCGTCTCCTCTTAAAAAAAAAAATTAGGTTCGAAACTATAATTCCATAATCGATGAACTATAATTCCATAATCGATGAACTATAATTCCATAATTGATGAACTATAATTCCATAATCTAATCTATGAACTAAAATTTTCAGAATGAATGAACTAAAATTTCAGAATCTATGAACTAAAATTTCAGAATCGATGAACTATAATTCCAGAATCGATGAACTACAGTTCCATAATCGATGAACTATAATTCCATAATCCATGAACTAAAATTCCATAATGAATGAACAAAATAATGTTGTTACTAGGAATCGAACCTGAATTTTTTTTTTAAAGGGGAGACGCGCGTTTTTAATAAAACGATGTCGTTTTTGCATCTGTATGCACCATGCATGGTGCATACAGATGCACAGCATAACTATTCCTTCACGATCCCTGCCTGACTAAGGCTAAATTTATCTCTGAAAATTTCCCATTGACAAGCTAACATGATATTTGTTTAATTTGTGGCAGACTCAAGTCCACTTATATTGTGGATCATAATTTAAAACCACATTCTGATCATGTATTGGTAGTTAATATATTATATACATTTTACATTTAGTTAATAAATTATGTATTTACTACAATTAACATATATATTATGTATATGCAGTTAACATAATGTGTATATATTTATAATATGCATTTAATTCATTTATAAATACATAATTTATTAAATATTAGCACATAACATGTTAACGGTAGACACATAATTATTACTATTTTGGTCAAAGGTTAAATCTCCAACCCCAAGACTGATTCATAACTGTAATATCTACTATATATATATGTTAGGAACCTTGTATTAGGATTTTGATGATACCAATGTAATGTAGAAAGTAGACCCCTAACTCTTACGTTTCTCTTGTATCGCTACTTTCGTTCTAGACGAAAGTTGCCATAACTCATATGTAATTCGTGTTAAGCTAGAACAAACACACGAAAAGAGTTATGAATAGAAGATAGGCTGATCAAGACGAAAGAAGACTCCACAGTAACGAAAGAAGGAGTTGTCATTAAGAAGACAGTTCTTTTCAAGACTATCCCAACAAGTATTCTTCTTCTCATCAACAAGAAGAATGTTCTACCTGTCTGATTTGACAACATCCTAGGACAATAAGGACCTCAACTCATGGGACACGCTCTCCAAAGAGCATTTAATGAAGCTATACTATCTCTGGAGCTAAAAGACAAAAACCATCAAATCCTCCATACCTTCAACGGCTACATAGTACAAACCCATCAATGGAGCATTAAATGCATGAGGCTCCATGGTCCTTGTCTAACAGATAAAAGGTTCGAAAAATTCATCTCCCTCCAACGGATGAATTTTCATCACCTATATAAACCAACCTTCATCAACTAAGAAGGTGCTGGTTCATTTATCACTCTACTCACTCTCTTGCAAAAAGTCCTTGAAAAGTTAACAATCTCAAAGCTTTTTGCGAACCAGTTACTTAAGGTGCTAAGGCATTTGAAGTAGATCATCCATCACTGCCCTACATCTTGAAAGAAGTCTTGCACTCTTGAAGCAATCATCCCACACCATCAAGACTTCACAGTTGGAGGAATCAAGAAATACTTTCTTACCAACCTCAACTTAGAAGAAGAAGTTGATAGAGGCGGAGTAAACTCTCGGAGTTGAAAAACCTTCAAAGGCTGTCCGGCTTAGTGATCAAGGAAGTCTTTGTGTAATTGTACTAAAGAGTGATAGTGCAATCCTTCCAGCAGTTGTGGAAGAAGAGTGGAAGTAGGCAACGTTTGGCCGAACCACTATAAAATCTCGTCTCACTCTTCTCTTTACTTACTGCTTTATTTTACTGCTTGCATATCATCTTTTTCATCACTCCTCTTAACATTTTATCAAACTCGTGCAACCCTCACTTTATAATCTTTCCGCTGTGCTTATCTTACTCAAAAGTGTTGTCAGGGTTTTTCTTTTAAAAACTAAAGAAAAACGAGAGTCTATTCACCCCCCCCCCCCTCTAGACTCACCACACAATCTATCGGGACCAACAAGTGGTATCAGAGCCAAATACCTTGAACGGTAAAGG